ATTTTTAATTCTTTTCTTCTTTTCATCACTTTAATCCTTCTAATTATTTTATAGTTTTCTTATATTTTATGCTTTATTTTTCTTATTAATATATTTAATATCTTCAGTAAATATTACCTTCTATTTCTATTCTTTTACCTTCCATGCTATCTTTTTAACTTCTGGTAATATACTAAAGATTTTCCTTAATTCCTTATATAGCTATACAATTTCTTTAATATTCTTTTTAATTATTCATATCTTTAATACCATTTTATTAACAATTATTATTCCTTTGGTCCAGTCAATTATTAGATTTTAGGTTTATAACTATACCATTCCAAATACAACATCATAGTATTCTTTTAATACTAATATAATATTAAACATAATTATTATGATATATTATTCTAATTTCATAATAATATTTAGTATTTATCTTTTATAGTCTTAACTAATTATTTCTCTATTAATAAAGATAATTATTACCTATTTATCAGTCTAGATTATAAACAATCCTACTTCTTTTATAAATTCTTCTTCAATATAGTTATAAACTGCTTCTAAATCTAATAAGATTCTTATATTTTTTCTATTAATTTTTACTAATATTATTACTATTTAACTAACTATTTTTAGTTTTATAATTATTATAATAAATTATATTATAATTATATATTTTTCTTAATATTTTTATCAATATTCAAAATATTCTTTAATATTATAATAATATTATTTATATAATCCTTCTGCTTCACATTCAGTAATTATAATATTATTATAATAAAGATATATGGATTCTTAATAGATATACTAACATTCTATCTATTCTTATAGATATTCAAGTCTTAATTCTTTAATCACTTTTAAAATCCTTAGAAATCATCCTTTTTATTCTTTTTCTATAAGATGCATTTCACATAATAAATTATAATATATTATCTAATATATTTCTTAATACAAATTTCCTTCTAATACTAGATAGTAATAATAAGAATAATTCCTTATATATCTAGTTATTTTATTATAAAAGCATCATCCTTGCTTATATAATATATATTTATATATATTTATTAGAGATGCATACATTTATCTATATTATTAATATATATAATATATCTATTCTTTACAATACTTATATTCTTTAATATAATCTTTCTATTTTTATTAAGACCTTTTCTAGCAAGTTATATTTACTAATATACAATTATATTAATTATTCTTTTAAAACTAAATAATATCTTTCTATACTTTATTTAATTCTTCTTTAATAAGATTTTTATTTAATTCTTAGTATAAGTCCTTATAAATTATCATTATTAGCTTATTATCCTATAATATTAATTAAATATAAAGTAACTCTTCTAATAAAGAATTTACTCAGATATTCTTTATATTAAAATTTTCTATATTAATTTCTTCTAAATTAGCATCTTTACTATATTCTTCTAATAAGTCTTTAATATTTTTAAAATAATATATAAGAAATGCCTAGCTAATTAATTCTTCTCTTAAATTATAAGGTTGATGTTCTTTCTTTATATTAGTACTAACTCATCTTGCTTATTTAATACTCTTTCTAAGACTAAATCTTTTCTATTTTTATTTTTTATCTTTATTACTTAGATTACTAAACATTTTCTTTAATTATTCTAAAGCTTCTTATTTTTTAGTTTATTATATTCATTCTACTTAAATTTATTTATAATTTATTATTTATTTTAATTATTATTTTTTATTTTTAACTAATTGCTTCAAGTCTTTATCAGAATTAATCTTATTATTAATTATTCTGCCAGCTTTACTATTATTAATTAAAACTAGTAAAATTATTATTACAATTTACTCTTTTAAATCTAAAATAGCTAGTTTCTGATTCTTTTTTAGCTTTTAGTATTAATTTATAAAATAATTTAATTTTCTATAGTTAAAATAAGCTTTATTTTTTCTTAATTTATCTTTTTCTTCTTTAGATAAGGTTATATTTAATTATATTATTATATCTTTATTCTTATCTTTAGTTTACTTCTAATATAAGTTTATTTTATTTCTTCTAAACTCTCTTTTTTCTATTTATTAGATATATATAATTAAATTAATTTAGGATACTGCTTCTATTATTATTTAAAATATTTTTAGTTATAGTATTATTATTAAGATTTAATCTTTAATATTATTTTTTAGTTTTTTATAGAACTAATCTCTAAATTCTTAATTATTTTATAAAAGTCCTCTTAATATTTATAAGAATTTTAAAATATATTCTCTAACTAAAATCTATTATTTAATATATTAGATTTTATTAATGGCTTTAATTTTCTTATTAATAATTTCTTATAACTAATTAAGCTTTTCTTTATAATATTAGTAACTAAAAAATATTATAATTATCTTAAGATTTCTTTATTCTTTATTATTATTTATATAATACTAATTAGTAATATATAGAGTAAATTACTTTATAGTCTCTTTATTAAAAAAGCTTAATACTGCTAATATTTTATCAGACTTATTTATAATTCATTTATTATTATATATAAAATAAAATTATATTTAAATAAGATATATCTTAAGAATTCTATATTCTCTTTTAAATAAAATTACTATTTTAATCTTAATTTTTTAAAATATTTAATTTAATCTTTCTTTATTACTAATTATAGCTTGTTCTAGTTCTTTAATATATTATAATAATACTATTATATCCTTATTATTAATAGTTATAATATTTCTATTATTAGTATTAATAATTTATGAATTAAGACTTAGGATTATTAGAACTAGGATTTAAGATATTATTATTATTTATTTTTAAGACTTCTCTTTTAACTAAGAGTCTTAAATTATTAAAAACTTTAATTATTTTATTATTAAATATAGCTAGGATAGCTATTAATAGATAAAATTAATAGGCTTTTAAGATTAAAAGATCTTAATAGATAAAAAAAATAAGAATAAGACTAGGAATATTCTAATTAATAAAAAATTATATATTTAAATTATTATAGTTAATTCAAGATAATAGAAAAAAACTAAATATAAAATAAATAAGTATTCTTATATAATTTTCTTCTATTATAGTCTTTATAAAAATCCTCTGATTTCTCTAATATATAGATTATAATTATTATAGAAATCCTCTGATTTCTCTAATATATAGATTATAGCCATCATAGAAATCCTCTGATTTCTCTGATACCCTAACCCTAAGGCTTTACGGGTAATCCTTTGTTCCGATGTGCATTAGTCTCGTAGTGACTAACCTGATCCATTGGCTGTGACGTTCTGATTCTCTGACAAATATAAATCCTTATAGGTTATCATCCTTAATTTATTATTCTATAATATTGGTTAAGTATAAAGTAACTTTTCTAAAAAGGAATCTTTTCTAATATCTTTTATATTAAATATTCTTATTATTTCTCTTTCTTTAAGATAACCTTCTTCTTTAGATAATTTATAAGTACTATTTATCTGATCAATTTATTTTTTATAATTATAAGATTAATATTCTATTCTCATATTAATGCTTACTTATTTTATTTATTTAATACTTCTCTTAAAGTTAAATCTTTCTCACTTTTCTTCTTATATACTTTAGTATTATATCTTATTTTTGCTTAAATCATTAAGTATTCTTTTTAACTATATTAATATATTTTTCTTATCTACTTATCTTATCTATTCTGCTCGGATTCTTTTATAATTTATTATTTATTTTAATTATTATTCTTTATTTTTAACTGACTATTTCAAATCTTTATTAAAATTGATCTTATTATTAGCTATTCTATTAACTTTACTAATATCAACTGAAATTAGTAAGATTATAGTTATAATCTACTCTTTTAAATCTAAAGTGGCTAGTTTCTAGTTCTTTTTTAGCTTTTAGCATTTATCTATAAAATGATCTGGTTTTTTAAGATAATAGAAAAAAATCAAATATAAAATAAATAAGTGTCCTTATATAACTTTCCTCTATTATAGCTATTATAGAGAATCCTATGATTCTTATATGATGATCATCATAGCCATTATAGCCTTTGCTCTAATTCCTATAATACCCTAACCCTAGCAGTTACAGATAATCCTTTGTTCCATCATGCATTAGTTTCCCTTATCCATTGGCTGTAACGTTCTGATTCTCTGACAATATTTTAAAAATATTACGTTGTTCTTTAAATAAAGTAATTATTCTAATTTTTATTTTTTATAATATAATATTAATTTATAATAATTTATAATAATTTAGTTTATTTATTTTATTATTATTTTATTTTAATAATTTATTACTTTATTTCTTTAAAACACTTCTCTTATATATATAATATTATAATTTATTAATAAATATATAGATTTTATTCCTAAATTAATTAGATAAAAAATGATAAAAAACTTATTTTATTATATTAATATTAATATTATTTCTATTTATTTTCTAAAATTTTTCTTTTTATTAAAGATCTTAAATTATTAGAAATTTTAATTAGATTACTATTAAGTATAGTTAAGATAATTATTATTAAATAAAATCAATGGACTTTTAAGATTAAAAAGTCATAATAAAATAAAAATAGTAAGAATAAATTCTAAATATTTTAATTAACGAAAGATATGTATTTAACTTATCTTAGTAAATTTAAGATAATAGAAGAAAATTAAATATATAATAAATAAGTATTTTTATCTAGTTACTCTTTATTATATTTTTTATTTCTTTTATTATAATAATTGTTTTGAGCTATTATACCTAAGGTATTCCTAGTATAGTTTTTATCATATTATTACCTACAATAAGTATAACACTAATTTTAATATTCTTTAGTACTAACACCTATGGCATAGTGCATATTCTGTTCCGTAGACGATACCTATCGATTGGATGTGACGTTCTGATTCTCTGATAGAGAGGTGGTAGCGTGCGGGGGGTGGTGAAATACTGTATATGGTCTATTTCCAGGCTTTATCATAGGCAAAGGTCTGTATTGATTCTGGTAACTGGTAACTACTATCTGGATACATTATGCTGTTATTGACCCAACATACACATTGTAATTATATGTCTCGCAAGTATCAACAATACTTAATCCCCCTGTCCCGTTGAGGATTGTCTCCCCATCCCGACTCAGCACAAAACTCTGTTCGCCGATGCTCATTGTAACGTTCGATGTCGTGATACCAGCAGGCACATCAATACTGACTGCGGCATTGTCACCACTAGTAACAGTCAACGTAGCCGCTTCTTGTAACATAGTAGCCACAAAGATGCTATCAGAGAGTAGATCAATGCCGTTCGGGGCTGGTAGAGTATCGTTGGTGCATGTGGCGTCCTTGGGAGTTGGGCGGTACCAGTATACTATTTCCTCAGTGTCGATGGTCGGTGAACTTGCTCCAGTTTTGTAGGCTTGGATGTAAGGTTTGTATAGATCGCGCCAGGCATCATGTGGGAATCCAGAGGCCCATTCGGAGGAGCCGTCATCTGAATGGTCGGCGGAGTAGGGGCCGATGTAGTGAGATTCGCCGTAATCTTGATTACATTGTGTCAACATCATATTCCACCTGTTTGCTGATATTACCCGAGAGAACTTACCATTCCACGTGATGATTTCGACGAGATCTGGCTGCATTGATAGTATTTCATCCCAGCGACGGGTAGGCAGGTCCTCGCAGATGAAGACCCAGTTCTTACTGTTAAAATGGGTAAAGAACCATGGCGATACAGCTGCGATAACCGTTAGCTGATTCATATTTCCAAGAAGCCTTGCAATCCTCTACATACGGGCCATGTATGTAGCATTCCCCAAGTCTGAGATAAATCTATCATCCCAAATAGTAGTCATAGGCCCCGAGATGATACTGTTACCTCCATCGGTCGGCCAAGCATACCACGAAAACGCTCCGTCTGCACTTCGCTGACTATCGCTCGACGCTTCAGCTGGATCCTGCAAATTCGGCAACGCCCATATGGAATGATTCGTCCCAGCTTTTACCGGTGTCCAATCGAAGCTATCTCCAACGAAGGTGCTCACGACCGCGGCATCATTGTATTGCATCTGTGCTGCATGACCGGCATAAGTTTGCATGTATGCTGTGATATTTTCGGTATCCCCGCTTGTCCAATAGGCAAAGTCAAAGGAAATAAAGACTTTGAAACCGACTTCGTCGGCAGCTTGGTACGCTAGGGCTAGTTGGGTGGGAGTGTAACTGTCCACGCTGGCACAGTTAAGTGCAAAGGCGTCAATACCGATATCCATTGCCGTGGTCATGTCTGATTTCCAGTCGTCGAGGGTGTAGTTTTCGACAATACCAACCTATCACCTGAGGTGAGTTTGACGGACTGTCTGTGATAGTGGCGATCTTGGTATTACTGACCATGAAATGCGCAAAGACATATTTTGATGCCGACGACTGGTGTATGCTGTTTCTTGATAGTGTTGATGCATTGCATACGGGCCATCCAAATGCTAGAAATGCAGCCACCTGAATCAGGTGCTTGAAATTCATGTTCGTTATATACAACCGTGTCTGTTAAAGAGGCGTTGTTGTAAATTTGTATAGGCAGCGGATTCCATCCGTTATATACCTTTCAAACAATGAACCAAGTAACTAGTCCTGTAAACCTTTGAAAATCATTCTTGCTTCAGGACACATTGATCCGCACCGTTTAGCTTATGTTTAATGTCAACTGTAACATCGCCCTCAAATTTAACCCAGAATGATTGAATGCTGTTTACACTCAATAAACCCGGTAACCTCATGATTGCAACCATGTGCTAATAGTTATATAGTCAAGTCTGTCGTGTGATTCGTACGCCTGCGGCAAATTGCCATACAACCGTCTTGGGTTGCACCAGTTGGTTGCATGACCCCAAAGATCATCGGGATGTCAGCATTGAGTTAATTTACATACGGCGCTTGACAGCGGATCCTTCCGCCTCAATTAATCGACTCACGACTTTTGAACTCTTGCATCAGTCCCTTCTAAAAGCTTTTGGCAGTACAAGAGTGGGATGGAGGGATAGTTCCCAATGTTACATCATACCCTACCAGATGTTGAAAAAAGGCTCATTCAGGCTGACTGTATTGTTTTTTCGTCTTAGATATCTGTAAAACTCTAACTTAAAGGGCAGCTCAGATTAGGTCATTGCTTGGATGCAGAATCTTCTGTCCGTTGATCTTTCCTCCGTCCAGTGCGAAAAGGCCAGTATGATTCTCTAAGCAAATGTGAGCCGATGCCATCCCTTTCATTTAATTCGCCTCTGGTAGGTGTGAGTATGCAATGGGACTGTCCTCGTATTACTCAAGGATATCTTCAGCTGGCTAAACAACCTTCCTAGACCTCCTCCCTCCTCGAGGTATTCCATCCGCCTTCTACGGGGTGTGCGTTGCCTCCTTTAAAACGAAATTCTCCTTGGAACCAGTGTATCCGTGTGATGCAACATGGAGTTGTCGATGCACTTGATCATCGACCTTGAAGGCGAAAGTCCCATGCCAACCGTTAAGGTCCTTGACATGTTTACCGTCGATGGTGGTAGTATCATGCATGTCAGAGCTAGATTATGCCTAATCAGCGCTGAAAAATAGGTACGGAATATGGATTAATGCATGGTAAAACCGTAATAAAATGGTCACGGATGAATCTCAAAGGGGAGATGAACGGGACTAACCGGATGAGAATAGCTTTAGGAGCTAGCTGCTGATCTCAAGCTGTTGCATAGGCCAGGGCTTTTTTGCGATCCGCACTGATCGTGTTGCCGGCATAGAAAAAATACCTGACAAATTGACGCCTCCCTTAGCAGCCATAATTTGCGGAGTGAAGTAACAGGTTGTCTTAATTCAAAGAAAAACAATTATGCTTTGATAAACAGTTTTGGATTTCAATCTGCGAAAACGCTGAGAACTGTGCTATCTTTATACTTCATCTCTACGGAAGACGAAAGATTTGATTGGTTGTGAAGAATTCCTAGTAGAGACCTTGCGCAGCCGGCTGCACAACTATACTTTCACAACTCAATACTGCTGGTTTTATTTTTTTCGGCACCTTGCTGCCTTAGATTAACATGTATTAGATCTAGTGGTATATTTTTTAGCGATCGCCATCTTATAAGGCCTTACAACACCAAAAGTGCACTAATTGAGGTTATTCTAGTACACTAATATAAGGTCTTAGATATGCCTGACTTTGTATCTTGATTTTTTATCCAAATTAGTTTCAAATCTTATCAAAAATAGATAAATTAATTCATATAGAGGTCCTGCTTTAATTTATATTAATATTATTATATCTTTTGCTTAGATGATGTAGGCAAAGAAAGCCTAAATTTATCAACTTTTATACTTAATAATCTTTATAAAGAATTTATTAAACTAAATAATACCCTCTTTATATTACTAATCTTAATAATTAATAAGCTTAAAAAGAGAATATAATTTTATATTAATTATTAAAAATTAAATATTATAATTAAAAAAAAACTAATAACCTCTTCTCTTAATTAATAAGATCTTTAATATAACAAAGCATAGATTTTTACTAAACTAGATATTTAATAAGATTTCTATTAAATAAGAATATATCCTGATTTAGAAGATTTAACTACCATATTTTATTATCTAGTTATAAAGTCAAGTGATTAATTTTAAATCTTCCTATTAATATTTATATATTACACTTAAGAATTAGAAACTCTATATATATAATAAAAAAATAAATTATATATAAACTAAGTCTTAAGTTAATAAAATTAATAATTAAATAAATAAATAATAATAATATCTCTTACTCTAAATTTATAATTTAGTATACTTAGATAGCTAATTAATTAGAGTAGATCCAGGAAATTAAGAAGTATATTTATTTATATAATAATAAAGGAGGTTAAACTACAGAAATTCTATATAATTAATCTAGTACTAATATTCGTAATAGCTTTAATAATAATAGTAAAGAAATATAATAGAACTATTTAAGTAAGAAAGAATATATTAAATTTTTTAAAAAAAGAAAATATTATTATTATAAAATCTAAAAATATTAAATTAGTAATTATTCTCTTAAGAATAGCTAATTTAAGAATAATATTATTAAATAACTTAAGATAATAAATGAAAATAAATAAATTATTATCTAAAAAGAAGATTCTAATTTAGAAAATAATAATATCTAGGAAAAGTCTTTATCCTAAATAAAGTTTATACTAATCTATATGAATTAAATATTAAATAGTTAATAAGATTTAATAAAAAAAATTTTATTATATTTATAAAACTTGTCTAAGAAATATACTGTCAGAGAATCAGAATGTTACAGCCAATGGATAAGGAAAACTAATACATGATAGAACAAAGAATTATCTGTAACTACTAGAGTTAGAGTATTATAGAAATTAGAGTAAAGGCTATAATAATTATAATGATTACTATATAAGAATTATAGGATTCTTTATAATAGCTATAATAGAGAGAAATTATATAAGAATGCTTATTTATCTTATATCTAGTTTTTTTCTATTATCTTGAATTAACTAAGATAACTTAAGTATATAATTTTTTATTAATTAGGATATTCTATTTTATTTTAAAACTTTATTTGTTTCTATAATTTTTATATATTAAAAGCCTATTAATTTTGCTTGTTAATAATTATTCTAATTATACTTAATAATAATTAAACTGAAGTTTCTAATAATTTAAAATCCTTAATATAAAAGATAAAGTCTTTATTTGAATATTTAAAGATAATAAATAATAATAATCTTTTTACCTTAGAGTAATAACTGTAATATGTAGTTTAAACTATAGTAAGATAATAATAATATATGGTAGTAATATATTATAATAAGGATAATAAGATACTAGCCTACTATATTACTCTTAAAGAATAGTTTAACTAAATAGTTAAATATATATAATAATTTAAAAATAAGTTAAGAGTTAAGAATAACTAGATAAATTAGTTTAAGAAATATATTAAATAACTTAAATAAGAAGAAATTAAATAAAAGAATCATATTAAATAATTAGAAATATAGATAATATTAAGCTTATTATTAATTATTAATAAAGTTAAGCTATTAAAGCTAATAAAATTTAATAGAGTATATTCTAAACTTAAGTTATTTCTAGTAAATATAAACATATATATAAAGACTAATAAGACTAAATAAGATTATAATAAAATAATTTTTATTATAACTTATCTTATTAATAATATAGCTAATTAGATATAGCTAATAATAGATAATTTTTATAATTTAGCATAAGAAGACTAGAACATAATTATTATTAAGATATTTATAAGCTATACTAGCTTTAAAAAACAACTTATATAATTATTTAGGAATATTAATAAAATATATATTATTAAATAAAAGTTAAAATATTTATAATAAACTAGATTAGCTTAGAAATTAGTAATAAAGTTTTAAAAGATAATAGTACTATTAAAATACAATAATAAAATATAAATTACTATATTTAAGAATATATTAAAAAAAGAAGTTTAGATAGAATTAATTAAGATAAATTAATTTAAAGATATTAATAATTTTATTAAAATAACAATCAAGATTAATACTAAATTATTTAAAATTAAATAAAAGAAATAAGAGTTTTAATAATAGAAAAAATATAAAGGATTCCTATAGTTTAAAATAAATTAAATAATATAATAAAATCTACTAAGAGACTATAATAAAGATATAGTTATGCAGCTAAATATAATCTTGTTTAAAGAAGAAAAAAATAAGATAATTAGTCTAAATAATTATTAATAATAAACTTTATTATAATATTCTTACTTTAAGAATTAACTGGATTATTATTATTTAAGATTAAGAGAGATTTTATATTAAGGATTTTTTTTAATTAATTATTATTAAATGATAAGAATTTTATATAAAATTAATAATAAGCCTAAATTTAGATAAAATATTTATAATAAATATAGAATTATATGAGATAGAATATAATATAAGTATAGAAATAATAGAAAATATAGATATTAATAAGAAGTAGATTTTGATATTAAGAATAAGGTTATATTGATAACTAAGCATCTTAATAATAGATGATTTAGTTAGAAGCTTTCTTATTAGAACTTAGACCTATTTAAGATTATTATAAAAAAAATATATTTAAAGCTTTCTAAATATTTTTAAATATATCTAATTTTTTTATTAGATAAACTTTGAAAGATGTGACGGCCTAGTACGATTTGGCTTGGCGGCACGCAGTTACTGCGGAAGTACCCGCGGGCCGCCTCCCATGAACGAATCACATGCAGGGAAGATGTAGGGTTAGATATGCCTTATAGGGATTACCCCATGTTTTAATTTATATTACAGATTATTAAAAGATCTATATAATATCAAGAAAGATAAATAGCCTTTGCCAGCTAGTATTCTATATTATTAAAACCTTCCAGAAATCTAGATTACTAGGCACTAATACACAATAAAGATAGCCTATAAATATCTAGAATAAAAAAAAATATAAATAAAAAA